TATTTACTATATCTATTATATATATTATATCTCTTATATCTATTAGTTCTTATTACTATAAATAGTATTTATTAACAATAGAGTAGTTTTTATTGTAATTATTTATATATGTAAAATATCTATAAAAGTACTACTTTCTGACTCTTTAAGAAAGTTAAGTATCTTCATATATTTCATAATTAATAAACTGAATGCAATACATATTTAGTATCTTTATATATTATCTATTATTGTTTCTGCCTTAAAATCCCAAATCACTCTGTATTTTGTTAAAGTCTTGTGTAGACTTTTGTATAAAATTTGTTAAGTTATAGTCATCATACTATAGTTGAGCAGCTTCTGTTAATACTGTGGTTAAAGGAAAAACTACAGATTAATAATAAGTAGTTTAACTTGTTTTAACCCATTATCTACTATAAGATTAAGTATATGACAAATATATTGATAATGTATAAAATTATTAGAATCAAGTTTTATTTTTATTTGTTAATATGCTTTAACTATATTTGAGTCATTGTTGGTTATAATGACAACAATTTTTTGAATTAGGTTAAATTCATCTAAAATTAATATTATAAAGTTACAAATAGTTGTGCTTATATGAGATCCTTGAAATTTAAGTATTTCTAAAATAAAATGCTGTAATTGTTAGTTCTTATCAACAAAATGAATTATAAGAGCAAGAAAACTTTTTATTTTAATATTAGACCACATGTCAGTAGTAATTGATATTTTTCTAGAAATATTATGAATTATTACATTAAGTTTTGGTCATTGTTTTATAAATATATCTAAGATCTTATCATGAATTGTTTGCCACTTAGGAATTTTAAATAGTGGATCAAGTTTATTTAACAATTTACAAAATAAAAATTCATCTACTATAGAAAAAGGTTGCATATTTTGAATAATCCATTTAATTAAAAGAATTAATCATTTGATTTGTTCTTTTTCAGAATAGAATTTATATAATTCTTTTTTTTTTTAATAATCCATGTTTATACAAATGATCTTATATAGATGCTGTACTTGTTTTTGCTGAAAATACAACATTACATTCTGAATATTTGCAAAATTGATTTTTAGGATCCTTGTTTATATATTGCCAAACTTCTGATGAAGGTTTATTGGCATTAGAACTTTCTGAACTAGTTTCTTCAATTTTTATTATAGAATCTTCTTTATTAAGATTGACACTATCAATTTCCAAATATTTGCATATTATTACTAAGCATTTCATTAGCTTCTAGCTCTTCTATATTGGCAACATATCTATTAAAATTATAATTGTCAAAATTTAAACTTTCAATTTTGCTTGTTGTATCCATTTTATTTACAAGCTTAATATTAATCTTTATTAATTATTACAATTTATACAAATTCGATTTATTAAAGCTAATGTGGGATTAAGTATTACATATAAAAAATCACATTAATAAAATTGATTAATAATCAATTAATTTAGGGGCTTGTTATTTATACCCCCTATTTTTGTTATTCATACTCCCCATGTAATAATATATATTTATCACATGATCGCCATTTGATATACGGATTGTGATTGGACAATAACGTCTATAAGTCATGTGATTATTTGATAGTCAAATGTCACATGTACCAGTATATAAATCTGTGAGACATGAACTTCTACATGATTTACATTACTTCACGTGTATATAATACATAAACTTCTACGTACAGTATAACCAAAAATATTAAGGCTACTAAGAATTAGTATAGTGATTTTTAGTAGTACTATGCTATTAAACATTATTATATAGAATGTTTCAACAGCT